CTTTTTTACCAAAAATCGACTGCACCAAAATTTCTCGGGAAAACACTTTTTCTTATTAATTTTGGTGCGTAGAATCCAAAACAATTCGTACTTTTACGATCAGACTTCTCAATCAAAAGTTATAGACTAGAAACCAATTTCGAAAGAAAATTCAAAGGGCTGTAACTTTTGAACTAGTACCCCAATCTTGGAACTGTTTGAAATTATGGATTCTACAGGCCACATTCTATAAGAAAATTTTTTTTCCGAAAAAGGGCAGTGTATAACCTTCCTTTTTTACCAAAAATCGACTACACCAAAATTTCTCGGGAAAACACTTTTTCTTATTAATTTGGGTGCGGAGAATCCAAATCAATTCGTACTTTTTCGATCAGACTCAATCAAAAGTTATATACTAGATGCAGATTCCACTTCTTCAGGCTCTTCGACGTCCTCTAGTGGTAGTGGGTCGTCTGAGATTACCGACTCGTAGTTCTCGTCTTCCGCTTTACCTGATGCATGGGTACCAATTATGTATACGATTATAATATTCTCTCGTGTGTCCTAAGTATCCGGTAGAGAAGGTTTACCTGATTTCCTGCAACTGTTTCAGAAAATCAGGTAAACCTTCTCTACCCGACACTTAGGAGTTAGGACACACGAGAGAATATTATATTCGTATACTTAATTATAAAATTTTTTTGACATAATACTTCTTGTTGTAGGTCTGAAGAACGAGTTCTGCGTCCAGTGTCATGGAACATCGTGCCTAAATGGGACGTCGTCGTTTCAGGGTGCCCATGCAGGTAAAGCGGAAGGCGAGGAGAACTACGAGTCGGTAATTTCAGACGACCCACTAGCACTAGAGGACGTCGAAGAGCCTGAAGAAGTGGAATCTGCAGAGGATAATGATTTCGTTGAGGTATAAATGAATGTGTGAATATTTCAATATGAAAATACTGTTTTTACGTGAATAAATGGTACATAGAAATACTTTGTTTTACAATGAATATTTCCTCACACATGAAAGTTGAAGGTGAAAGGTGACTTTACGCCAACTCTTCAGTTACATATCTCGTATGAAATTGCACGAAGAGCATTTTCAGCTAAACATATATCATCTAGCCCTGAAGGTCGCGATATATTTGCAAAAAGCCACGAAAATTGCCGATTTTCGCCGCTTTTATGAATTTCCTAGGCTAAGAGGTACACCTAGGCTAACTTCTGAGTATCTACCTTGTATGAAATTTCCCGAGAAATATTTTCAGCTAAAAATATTTCATATAGATCTCATAGATCGCGAGATATCAGCCAAAAAGAGCGAAAACACGGTTTTTGGGGGATGGTGGGGTGGCTGGAGCCTTTAGCACAGGGTCTGGGGGGTGGGATTTTTAATATGTTGTTTCTGACACGTAACTGAACATATTCCACCATTTTTTCTTTTCCACCTCAAAATGTCCAGTTAGATGTCTTTATCGCCCCCTAGACTATAAGAGATTCTTGCTTTTGAAAGAGATGCCCACCCAACCCCCGAAAATAAGAGGCTTTATAAGACAATTTATGTTCACAAAAACACAAATTTACTTCAAAGTGGAAAATGACTGTGATTAGGAGAATTGTCACCTCACTGCTAGCTTTAATATTATGGCGCTAGACCTGGCGGGCTCAGTCTAGAAGGGGTGCCATAGATTCCTCAAAACAAATTTTTTTGTAGTTGTGCTAGTTTGGCACCGATGAAGAAGCGCGAAAATCTGAAAACATTTTTGTGTTGACTACATTTACCATAATTGTGATGAAAGTCGAGAATATCGAATTTTATATAATTCGCGCATAAATTCGAGCTTAAAATTATTTTCCCCCAATTGTTAAGTAGGCGGTGAAAATGTGATATGCAAATGAAAACTCGAACGTGTTCTAAAAATGCTCTCGATTAAGATCCGCCCCATGCGGACGAACAAGAATCATGGAACATCCGCACATAAACCGCACCAACATAATTACGCTGTAGATGTTTAGAAAAATTATTTGGGAGACACCCTCTCGGTGGCGATATAATAAAAAGCGCACTTAATATTTTATAAAAAAAGGGAGCAACCGCGTATCCTTTCTACTAAGAAATCCTTTAAGGGAAATGTCACCTTTTCTCATCACGAAAAGTTCGGAATTTTTAAATTTCTTCGGTCTCGTATTTTTATGACACTCTCAATTTTCCAAATTCATAATTCTGAAATCTTATTTTTTCAATGGCATAGCGGCAGTAGGTCCCTGTATTTATTCTATAAGGTATAAGCGAGCGAATCGACATTTGAGATTGTGGTTAAGCGTCAATTCAAACTCGAAATTTAACGAAAGTCCATCTCAGGAAAACCAATATCCGGCTCTGATTGACGCAGTTGAAAGAAATTGAGCTTTATCGGTGGCTGAAAATATAGGGAACACTCAAATATCACCCGTAAAACACTTATCAAATGGAGACGAAAGGAACTGATTAGCATCACAAAAAGTATCGGAGGTGGAGGGCGCAACCTTTGGAGCTCATCTCGTTACGGCGCTATTCTTTTAAAGACGCCACGTATTTCATAAACATTTCGCATTATTTTCCAATATTTTTCAAGCCTTTCCCGATTTAATGCGCGAGATTTAAAAGTTATTGTTTTGCTCGAAAGTTAATTAATTTACGCCGGTAGAAGCTCGGCATTAACTTATAGCAGTAATCCGCCGCCCCTACCCTCAAGTGTACAGGTAAGGTAAGAAATAGGTTGCAACGCTGTAGGCGTTCCTTTCATGACTCGTCAATTTTTGTTTACTTTGCCGACTGCAAGGTGTTCAAAGACACGTCACAAAATATCGACGTCATACTTTAGCAGTCGAGACGTGTCGCCGATTTATGTGAACTTTAGAATCGTAACAAGGACGGTCGTTGTCATGCACAAACAGGACTTACTTAGAAAGTTTGAGTATAACTGAGGTCGACTTCGGACTGGGGGCAAATTCCGGTGCGGTCTCTCGGATCAGGAATTGCACATTCCGCCTCAACGCCCTCCTGTTTATATCAAAACACACTCTGGAAATGTCATGCTTCACTTCGGAAGCTTACTGTTAAAGCTTTCCATTATATAACCCTAATTTAATCGTAAATTTAATAAATCCGGAAACTTATCCCAGTCCAAACGTTGCTTTATATCCGAGATAGTTTGAAATTCGAGGAATTCCATATTTTAAATATCGCCACCTACGCGAAATTTCCAAAGCGCCTTCTTCGCCATACAATACAGCCAAATATTTCAGGGGGATCGTTACAGGTATAGGGAACGAATACAGGGTGATCAAAGTGAGCAATAATGGGCTCTCCCAATTCGATTATCGGCCATTTTTTTCCTAGTTCGACAAAAGCCTAAACCCTAAACGAATTATTGACCTCGGCGAATTGCAAATTTATTCTAGACGCCTTTTAATGGGACACTCCTCCGCAATACTGACATAACAAAATAACTAATAACCCGTTTTCACAAGGATCCCAAATCAAGTTTATTCCATTTTTGGTTGATTAGTCCCTTGCAAAAATGCTTCCAGCTTTACTTTTTAATTGTATCGAAGACCTATCGCTCAACCGCCTTTTTTTATTGTTTTATTTTGTCGAAATGATCGGAGGATTGCGATCATTTATGCCAAAAACCGCGTGCATTTGTATGAAGAAAGCAACGCGGGGCGAACCAGTTTAATAGGGAGACATCTGTTTTCTTAGGGCCAATATGGGGATCGCCCTGTACATCGCGACTGTTGTATTTAGGAATAAATGTGATCCTTCTAATTCAGGAATGTACGTGCGGAATTCGAAGCGAAACCGTAGTCAGCGGCTGGTATAGCAAAGTCCGGGCGCTAAGCGATCAATACGACAATACCGAGGGCGGCAATGCCGCTTCGCCCCTATTGTGGTGCGCAGATGTAGAAGCTGGTAAGTACTCACCGTTGGCACGCACGGGTGACTGGGAGAAATAAAGTCCAAACCTCGCTGTCCTACGCCGTTAAAGCAGGTCTTGATGTTCTGCATGAATTTTCTTCGTATGGCTTTCAAAGAGTACACGCATAATGCCGAAAGGTCCGAAGGTCTGTTTACTTGTAAAGGTTCACTTTCACTAAATACCGCGAAAAGAACGTCGTCTTGAGCCGTTATTCCCAAATCGCCCGCTAAATCGGAGCCAGCTTTTCCAACGTACGCGGCCTGCACTAAATTGTATTTCCGACCACCCTGAGCTTCGCTAATGCAATCTATGGGTATTTCCGTATACGAATAATAATTCTCGTCGTCCTGACATACTCGGACTAATTTTGTTATAAATTGGCTCGAAGTCGTGTGTTTCATTTGGGTTGTTAAAAAGTAACTAAATCGTTCCGAACTAAATCCGTAAACGTACGTAATTGGGTAACGTTCTCTCGCCAAAGAATTTACAAACATTCTCGTTCCGGTGGTAACGGCGGTTTGGGCAATGGTAAACATTTTCCCTTTATCCAAGGAACGACTACTAACTGCAGGAACTTCTGACCGATACGGTGAACCTAAAGTAAAGGTAACGCCGACGTACATCACTTGAGAAACTGGAGGATTTGGTGGTCCTGGTGCAATAAATGCAACAGTCGAAGCTGTTGCGTTGTTCGCAACGACAGCTTCCCGTACTTCTTGAGCAGCATCGGAAATATTGTGGAGATTACGTATAGAACAGATTCCTTGAAATAGACTTCCGCAAGAGATCAGACGAGTAGTTGTATAATCGATTACTAACGCCTTGTTTACATTGTCGGTAAGCTTTTTGTTGACGGAAGTGGTACATTCTAATACGGAACATTCGTCGGAATCAAGCTCAGGGCCGGTTACTTCCGCAATCACAAGTTCGAGTTCCGGAGATAATTGATACAACCGATTTACAGCTCCAATGTACACACGTCCGGTGTTCTTATCAACTACGAGATGGTTAAAGCGTTCGACGGCAGGATCGGTAAATGAACGAACGATGTCACTGGACGCGGCGGCGACCGCCACCGTCAACAGTATCGTGATGAGGTGCCGCTTCATAATGGGAGCGGCGAATGTAGACTTCACGTCATGGGCCCTGCAACAAAAAAGATAACATTAACATCTACAGAAAATTTCGAGAACAAAGTTTGTGTTACGCGAACATTTTGTCAACAATTTGGGCTAAATTATGAAATGATTTTGATTTCCCTTAGCAACACAACTTTATGTTAATTAAGCGCTATGTTTATAAGACCTGGCGCCACAATTATAGCAAGCGCCATCACCCAGAATGTGTGTGCTAATTAGCTTCAAGATAAGCACGTGTTTTCGCTGATATTTTTTCGACGTAGTAAACGCAAGTGTATAATTTATTGGAAGACGCAGTGGGAAGTGGAAAGGAAAGGGAATTTGTTTTACATAGAGGCGACGGACATTAATCATTGCTCTTTTGGTGGTGGCCGTTAATTGCTTGTTTTGATAGATGCTAAAACGCGTATTGTTTTACAATTGTATTTGGGCATATTATTGAAGACAGCCAGGCTTTATAATCGTAAAGTTCTTGTTATAGAAAAAATTTTAGTTGACTGCTACGAGTATTAATAGATTTAAGTCGTTTTAAATCGAATTAAAAAAGTGAAGTTTACGAAGAAGTAGTTGTTCGTCAGAAATTGGTTTGAGTTGTAGCGACATGCTTTCTTGTCTGGTCTGCTCCTAGGGCATGATTCGTGACAAGTTGTCTGCGACGATATTTTCTTCCCGGCTACGTGTTTGATGTCGGTTGCGTACTAACGAGTGTAGTCCAGGTACCTGAATTGTCTTGGTGGGCATTTTTCGGGTTTCTGCATGAAGGCGTAGGTGTATACCATAAATGTTCGATCAAGTGATCATAGTTTCTTCCAGAAAAATACGAGGGGTTCCCATTCTCAGGTTTGGTGCTTTTGCATGACTCTACCTATGGCAAAGTTTGATGCGTCTGCTGCGGAGTGCTGTATCATTGGTTGCATTGGCAATTTGCCGTTTGCATTGCTTGAATGCTTCATGCGCTTCGGCCGTCCACTGCAGTGGTTGGTTTCCTCGGACCTTTTAGCAGCTCATGTAGCGGCGCTTGGGTTTCTGCGACGTCTTTGATGAACCGTCGAACATTCCGAACGGTGTTAGTGATCGCTGGGAATATCTTCTGCTGCGACTGGAATCTGGTGGTATGTTTCACTAGATCGATGGTGGAGAAAACGGTTTTAGGTAGCGGTCAGGAATGGTTCGTGCGTTGAGTGCTCAATGGTCTCCGGTGACGATTAACCTTCATGGCAAGTTCCTTCGAAGTTTCAAATCGAGGTTCATGTTTAATGTTCCGAATTTGTGGATTGCGGTTTCGTTAGCAGCGTACAGTTTGTATGAAGATATCGGCCGTCTGTTACGTCGGAAGACGCTAACCTCGGCTGCGGTGTCTTCGTAACGTTGTCCGCTATGTGCAATCGGTGGCCGGCGGGGGTGTATTTGCAAGTCGTGTAAGACTGCGTCTGCTAGGATGACCTTGATGTTGTGCAGCAGACTCCTGTTTCATATGGACCTTAGGAGATTGTCTAGCACGAATGACCCTGCGAATTCTTGGAGGTTTCATAGGAACTGCGACGGTTTGCGGTGTCCTAATTCTTCGCGCCTCATCCGCTGCTCGTGGGTTGCGTTCAGCCTTATGATGAATTCAGTTTTCAGCTTCTCGTATTTCCCGGGGTCAGGTGGTTTGGTGAGGATGTCCAGGACCTCGCTGGCGTATTTGGCATCCAAGCTGCTGGCGATATACCCGTACTTGGTGTCGTCACTTGTGATGCCGCTTATTCGGAAATGAGTCTTGGGCGAACCACATTTCGGGGTCGGTTCGCCAGAATTGTGGTAGCTTCATCTGCATGCGATGTATCTCCAAGGGTAGGTGCTACATACAGAGTTTAAAATCTTCGGGCGTCGTGAGCTCTGCGGTATTGTTGTCATTGAGCGTACCGTCGTAGGGGTTGCTTATCGGCAATATATAAGCCAAACGGTATACAGTAGTGGCAAGTTCACTGTTTCTCGGTTTGTTAACGGTCGATAACGCGGTTCGAACTCAAGCGCGCGCGTTTTTTTTTTCTATAATACATCGCAGCAAAATGGAGGGAGTGTAGGATACTCATCAAATTCGAATTTTTTTGTATTGAAATAGGCGATTAATCGTAAATTGAATAATGGTCGTTTTCTCTGCACCGGTAAATTTTTATATAACAAATTCATGTGCGGGAGAATTATTTAACGCTTTATGGCCAATGATTACGGCGACCCTTCGCAGACAATAAAAGTGTTAACACTTAGCAACAGGGTGGACTCTGCCGGATTGTGTATTTGATTGTTTTAGGGGACAGTAATTAGTAACTTATTAAAACTGAACAAGAAGCAGCACCCTTCATTTAAATTCGCCGCGTCCGAATCTGGCATAAAAACTTGAGGGTGAGCAGTTTTAGTTGAGTTGGTTCGATTGAATCATTAGTAAAATAGGCATACATTGATCGTTTTTGCACGTACACACACTACGAAAATGAAATACTTTGTCGGCATTGAACGCCGTTTTTGGCGTGGAAAATTTAAAGAATTCGATAATCACAAAAGAAATGAGCGTATAAAGTCGTTCCCATCGATTTACACTGGACAATCCCTTTAAAGACAATATTTATTTTACAAATACTTTGAGGCTACTGTTATTTTAGGAAATTTTGTTTTCGTAATACATACGCATATACATCTATTATCTGCTCAAATAAAGGTTTACACAAATAAATTTAAAATATTTCAGAATGTTTGGGCAAATCCTTCCGGTTTACCTTTATGGCTCCTTAAGGGTCGCAAAGTGGATTTGGACTTATGACCAGAATGTTTCCTAACCGCTGTTGCGGTTTCATACTTAAACTGGCGTATTTAAAATGCGAAATGGGAATATAATCTCTCCTCGATTTAGGAACACCCCGTGCGTTTTATTTAATTGTAGGCGTTGATAATTTGAAAGCCAGCGCCTGGTTATTAGTTCATAATGGAGTTTCAACTTCTTAAAATTAGATTTAAAGGTTAATATTATTTTTTCGGCGAATTTTTATGAAGCTCATTTACGAAAAACTTGCCCGGAACGTAATTGGCTCGTGCCCCCCACGTTCCAAACGCGAAGTTGTAAACTTAAGGAAATTGGTTTCTGTATGTTAATTCTGCTTAAAACTATTGTCATCAATTCAGTTGCTGTAAACGCTAATCTCACTTTCAAGACTGCCGGGGCAAATGCTGACGGAGCTCCTCTCTCTCAGTCGCATTCACCCACCACATGATCTTTCAACGAAATTAATTGCAATCTCTACTAGGGGTAGACACGAACTTAACAAAAAATAGTTCATTCTGTCAGTCCAATAACTAACCGCACCTCCATACAGGGTGTCAATTCACCGCCATTTTGTTATACCCATGATTTTTTCACCCACCATTCGACTTTACCTGTTTGCGATCATTTCGAGCTTGGGACCGTTGGGGACATAAACCCCAAAAGCGAAATCCAATAACCCAATTTTCATATGGTAACATCAACAAAAAAACAGACTTGCAGCTGATCACTCCAATAAGTTACTTTAGCAAAAAAATGTAGAACTACAGAGAGAAATTAACCCTTATACTTTGTGATACACATATAATAGAAGATCCAGATCATTTGTCCTTTGTGAACATCCTCTTACGACATTACATTTTTGAGATATTCACATTTGAAACTACCCTTCCCATACGTGTGTTCCAATCATAAGGTTAGTTCTGCACATGCGCGCAACGCACCAGCGTGCTGAAGAGTAAAAAAATGTCTCCATAGATAATAAAGTGGATGCAGTAAATATTTCTTCATTTTTTAGGAAAGTTGGGATTTTTCAAGGAGTAATTACCTGAAAACCGATATGATTCATCTACGAGACACCGTGAACAAGATTGAGTATTAAAACACTCTATCATGCTAACAAGAAAAAATCCGACAACGACACCTAACAGGATTTCTTTCAAGGACCATTTCATTTGTGTATTTCACAACGAAAAATGGGAAATGGGTGGACCAATACTTTTCCAAAAAACCGTTTAAAAAATTTGGCCACCACAAGATCTCACGCCGGCTCAAGAAAATGCCCGTGATTTATGTTTAGTGGTAAACTGGAAAATGGAGGAAAAAAGGCCAATCTGGGAAGAAGTATCTGTATACGATGCAGGGACGATTTCTTTATTATCTTGCAACAAAAGACCGGTCTGGTGATAAATTTGGTTACGAAGATTTCTGGAATGCGCTACAGCACTTGAACACTTGGACAGGAGCATCGTGGAAGTATTGGTCTGTTGCTTTAACCCCAGAGGAACCCCGCAACCGATTCGTAAGACGGTGGATTGCTTTTTCTTCCAAAATGGAGAATCCACGAGCGGGTTTTCGTGCAAGTACCGCCATCAAGTTTGTCCTATAGAAGTTGCCTGGAACCGTGTCGAGAACATTTTTACTGTTATAAATCCATTCATTTCAAAACTGTTATAAATTTATTAAATAAATAAACGACGCAATTAAACTTACGTTACAGTAGACAGAACTGCTAAGAACTTACAAATTTTTTAAAAATTATTGTAATCCTTTATAATTAATTTCCTTACCAATTAGTAAAAATAATTTTTAATTAATTGACACAATATACAGGGTGTCCCAAAATGAAAAAAATTGTTGATTCTCCCAGAACAGATTTTTCAAAATGCAAATTAGTTAGTCTCTTGAGATTTTTCCGATAAGATTCATCAACTTCATTTGTATCTTTTCAACTTTTCATATTCTATCGTATATTCAAGTTTACCCGTTTCTTTAGACTTTCGATTCCACAACTTCTACCTACAGGATATTCATATTCTTAAAATCTTGCAAATATTCCCCGTGAATTCTTCGGAAGCTTGGATTCCTCGCATTTTTTGCACCACACTTCCACTTAGGATTCATGCCTAATAGTCCTGAGTCTGTCTGTGCACGTTATAAATCGACTTTTTTTGCTGCATGGTCCCTTATCCCTGTAGTTGTGCATTGCG